GCTTTATTTTCACTGCAATTAACTAGCAATCACTTCACGGAAATATGGCCATAATATAGAAAATATTTATTAATTCGAACAGGGTCATAGCCTAATTGGAATGGCAATTATACATCTCTCTTGTTAAGGAAGTTTAATTTAGTTTAGCGTTTTTCTTTTTGATGCATGGAATACTTTTTGTTGTTTAGAAAAAGAAACATAAAAAGATTATGTACGAGAGATAACAAGATCTTCTTGCAAGATGATGAGTAAAATGTAGTAACCATGGTTTTTTCAATTGCATTCTAACCTGCTACGTGGATATTAACTCTTCTGGGTATTTGCACAGAACCATGCATGCTACAAGCTTTAATTCTTTTCTAAAAGTTTGAATATGCTTAAAACGAATGTGCTCATGGTAGAATGAAACTACAAAAACGGTTTTTGAAATTGCATTACATAGAAGATGGCATTATGTTATAGCAAAGCCAAAGGGATTCTTATTGATTTTTGTACAGGAGGAAAGGAATATGCTTGATCTAAGGATCAGAAGGACCCATGCTTCCTCTCTACCTAGATCCCTTTGTCAGACTCAAACGTGATGATATCCACCAACAATGGCCTAAAATCTCTTCATCATAACATGTTCCATAAGTAGTAATTACTTGTATGACAATTCATGCTATACTATATGTCTCTAACATACTCATATAGTTGACCATGTAACATATCGTGAAACATCCAATCAAAGCTCCTTTCAATGGAAAATTGGTAGCCAACAAGCCCCATTGCCTCAAAGCTGGACTGCAGAGAAAAACATGCATGTATCTTTGAGGGGCCAGAGGTAGATATTAATGTTAACGTGAGATGGAGGGATATTAGAAACACGTTAATCAATAGATTTTTTAATATATTTTTCTTTATTAGTTAAATTTTATTAAAAAACTTAAATGTATTAATGAGAATTATTAAATTAAAAATATTATTCACATATTTTTTATAATATACAATAAATTTTAGTTAATAATAAAAAGTAAGTTGCTAATATTTCTCGTAAATTTGTTTTGCTTCATATATTTGAAATCAATCCTCTTAAAAAAGTAAGTATGCATGAATAAATATTTAAAATTGATTTACATATCTTATGATCGGTTGAAGCAAAAAAAACAATGAAAACAAAAAGAGTTGATTGGCTCAAATGTTGTAATATATAAGTTTTTTTTTTTAAATTAAGATGAGTTAAAGAGTTCTAACATTAGAATTAAAAATTTAACTATTAAATTAGGTATCAACAGTGACTTTATATATATAAACAAAGGAAATGATCATCAAAAGGCTTTTGTGTGTGCACGCCTGAAAAGGGAGTTCATGGAAGAACTGGGATACCTTAATTAATTTCTGTCTAAATATAAAGTTACAGAATATTATAAGATGGTAAATTATAATTCCCATAAGATTAAGGGCACATTTGGATGGTTCCATTAATTGAAAACTTCGTGTGATGATTTGGCACTGATGGAGTTTGATTCTCATTTTACATCGCACCAATAAGTCCTTGAAATGGCTAAGAAATTTTCCTTTGATGCAAGATTTTTTCAATAAAAATGCAATTGAGAGACATACAAATATAGAAATATGAAAGAGAACGATCCAATGGATTCATCAACCATGTTGGCTCTTTAGATAAATATTACTACTTTTTTATCTTCTAAATCATACGTATTTTTATAAGAGTCCACGTGATTTGAATCAAATAAAATCAATATAAACAATAAACTTTTAAATATTTAATGAAATTAATTATATGTGTTAGACTCGAATTCAAAATCAATTTTTTCAGAACTAAAGGAATCAAAGTATCAATAGAACATATATGCTCACAGGATTCAGGCTTTTACGAATCCATTAGCACCGTAGTATCTCAATATTTCTCTGTAGCTAATACAGGATGTTTAATAACTAATAAAAACTAGCTATTTAAGTAAAAGGAGAATCAATTTTGAAGTGTAAGATGTTTAGCAATTTCTTAAATTAAAAAATAATTTTAGTAAAAAGTAATTTTGGTATAAAATAGAAAGTTGATAAATAAACATGCTAAGATTTCAAATTCCAATAAATTAAAAATATGTTAGATAACTCGCTTAAAATAAAATTCGACCAAACTAAAGTTTTTAAATTAATATTAATTTATATAACTACACTATCTTGTAGTGTTTAACATTCTCAAATTATATTAGCAAAAATAAATAAATAAAATTTCTCAAACCAAGTTCTAGAGTTGCGACCCTCTTCAATGAAAATTAGATATTATTTCAAACTTTTTAAAATTTTCACTAAATTTTAGTCAATAATTAGGATGTTTAAAAATATGTTAAAAAAGTGTTTTACTAACATTTCTCTAATTTAATTTAAATACTAATAATTTTGGAATTTAAACATTTAAAAATTAGTACCATTTTTAATATTATATATATATATGTATTTTTTATATTTTCATATATACATATTTCAAGAATACTTTCCGTCAAAATTAACAGAGACAATTTTTATAGTCTATTTTGAATGTTAATAGAACATTTTCCAAACACTAACCTCTAAATCATGCATTTTATTAGGGTTACGAAATTGTGCATACTAAGTTATCAACGGACAGCAAGATGAATGAGTACGAGATATAGTGAATGATGACAACGATGGATCAAGAAATTGAGTGACGTTGGCATGCTAATTTCCAAAAGGATTTTTTTACTATTGCTTTCAAAAGGAAATAACATTTTATAATTGAGCAAAAATATTATAGGGCAACTTTTTTCTCAAGGTTTTTCTGCTATTGTGGTTTTGTAAATATTAGACCAGGATTATAAATGAATATATTAAGAAAAGTATTATAAAAAAGACGATAAAATTTTGTTTCAAATGATTTAAATATATGTGAAAAAAATTATAAAAGCTCTATTAAAGAAAGTAAATCAAATGAAGAGCAACTAAGTCATTAAAGATAAAGGAAGATAAAAAAAATATTGAAGAAGAATTTAGAGGTTCATAATTTGTTATTATATATGATTGATAATAAGATATTATAATATCGATATAATAACCCACCTAAAATACAAAGATTTAGTTGTTATTGTTTATACAAGTAAGAACTTTATTACTTGAACAATGTTTTAAATATTTATAACTTTTATTATATTTATTTGTATTACATCTGCACTTAAAAAGTGTAAATAACATGGGGTATCTTCCTTTTCAGTATTAATATTTTTTTCGTCTAACTTAAGACTTAATTTTAATTTTTTTCTTTCAACTTTGTTTTAATTTATTTTAATTCTCTAATTATTAAAAATATTTTAAAATGTGATTTTCTATTAAAAACGTTAATTCTGTGTTAATTTTTTTTTATCTTTTGTTTGTTGCGTATTGTGTATGTATTGTTTACCGTCTTCTTTTATATATTTTTAGTATCAATTTTGTTTTTCTTCTTCTTCATCTTTTTCGTTCTCTTCCCTCATTTCCTCAACATGCTCTTTCAATATCACTAATTTCGTCCCTATTCAGTTGCTTCTATTGCAGCTGTACTCCTCCTCTTCTGTACTCTTCCTTCTTCTCCGTCATCTCAAATGTTGCATCACATGAATTCTCTTCTAAATCAACAACAATGCCTCTTATATGGCAAGAATAATAAATTCTCCCTTTTAAATTGCCTTGACATTTTAGGGTGACCTCCATAATCCCTTACTGTGTAGAGTTTTAAAGATAAAGAAAAAAGAAAGAAGAGAAGAGATTGAAGAGAAAGATAAAGGAAAAGAATTGAGGAAAAAAGTTAAAACAAAAAATCTAATAAATAATGCACAGAAATATGAGGAAAAAAATAATAAATAGTATATGTAGCAGAAAAAGATATAAAATATTAATATAATTAATATTTTTAATAAAAAATGATTTGCTTAAAATATTTTTAAAAGTTAAAGGAAAAAAATACTAATTTTATAAAAAATAATAATAAAAGAAGAAAAAAAAAGTTGCAAAACCTTTTATGGTGGTTTATTATGTATATCGTTACTCTTCACAAAACATTTCGGATTTGCTAATGTCCAATGATCCCACTCAATGTCCCCTTTGGTGTCTTTGAACAAACATCATGAATATAGCAGTGAGAGCCTTTGAATCAAGCGGTCTATAACTGTTTATGGACCCAACTACAAAAAATCAGATTTAGATTTAATCCTGTAATTGCACCGTCCTGTCACATTATTTTGTATTTTTACTTAAGTCACCACATTTTCCCTTAAGAAAAATGTGAAATTTTGTCTAAATCTAGGGTGCAGTATCCCAATCCCAAAAAATCATACTTTGAATTGACTGGCCTTCTACATGTCATGCCTGCTGTTTATGTATTTAGATGAAAGTACTATTCTACAACCATCAATATAGGATCTGAGTGGCTATACTTGTCTTATAGCTGGAGAATATTTGCTCTCACACCCTTGCGAATTTCTTTTTATTTTTTATTTTTGGGGTGGATGAAAGGTTGTTGATGGTTAATGTTAGTTATTACCAACATAAGATGCCCTACATAACCAAACCCCTTTAACACGATGAGCTAGCACTTCTGACATTTCATATAAATCCCTTGTGAATAACAACCTTTACTCCCCAACTTTCTTGCTGTCCATAAGTAGCTAGAGTTGCTCCTGAGACTCTCTTGCTTCCCGCTTTCTCCTCCATTGAAACAAAACCAAAGTTCAAACTCACCCTCACTTTGCTGAAGCAAATTAGAACTTCATAATACATACCCTATTTCCAAAACCGAGATATTCAAATGTTCCATATATACACATATATATCTCTGATGTATTCTTAAGATCAAACCATCCATGATCATCTCATCATCTCAAAAGTGAAGCCATCCGGTTTCTTTCATGGTTTCACTTTTGCATAACTTGATCAACATCTTCAAATTCTTGAAATAATCTTATTCTTACCTCCCTCAAGAAATTTTTTTTCTTGGCTAGCTGTTCATGGACTACTTGAAGGAACTAGAATGCAAAAGTGTCCATGATTGTTATCACCAGATGAAGATGGATAAAATGGCAAGTCCTATAAAGTTTCCGGGACCAGTTATAGTGGGTGCTGGTCCCTCAGGGCTAGCTGCAGCTGCTTGCCTTAAACAGAAAGGTATCCCAAGCCTCATCCTTGAAAGAGAAGACTGTTTAGCTTCATTGTGGCAGTTAAAGACTTATGATCGCCTTAGGCTTCATCTTCCAAAGCAATTCTGTGAGCTACCTCTCATGCCATTTCCCAAAAACTTTCCTTTATATCCAACCAAACAGCAATTTTTGGCCTACCTTGAGGTTTATGCTGATCACTTTGATATAAAACCAGCTTTTGGAAAGACTGTGGTCAGTGCTGAATATGATCATGTAAGTAAGCGTTGGAGGGTGAAGAGTGAAGCGCCTAAAAAAGAGGAGACAACAGAATATGTTTGCCAATGGCTTATAGTAGCTACTGGAGAGAATGCTGAGGAAGTAGAGCCTCAAATTGAAGGGATTAAAGAATTTAAAGGGCCTATTGTACATACTAGCAAGTACACGAGTGGAAAAAGGTTTTCTGGGATGAATGTTTTGGTGGTGGGATGTGGGAACTCAGGCATGGAGGTTTGTTTGGATCTCTGCAACCATAATGCTCGCCCATCCCTAGTGGTTAGAGATACGGTGAGTAGACTAAGCATGTGTTTGGGTATACAAGTTATTTTGTTTACATATATAAAAGCTTTCTCAAAAAATGACAAAAAATTGATTTATTTATTTCTTCAGAATAAACTAAAGCCAAACATGCACTTCAGCTCATATGCATCATGTTAATAATATGTTTTGATTAACATTTAATTGAGGACAAATCAATGTTATTTTAATGTTACTACTAATTATAATTTTTGTGTTAAATATAAGTTTATATATATTTTAATTTGTTTCTGTCAGTAACATAATTGGGATGCTCATACATATAAAGTATGATGAATTTTATGTACTTTCAGTTGATATATACTTGTTACTAATTCTCCAGAAATTCAGTTAATAATTAATCTTAGTTTAAGGTGCAATATAGGAAAGTATATATATAGAATAGAAAAACTAATGTGTGTGTGTGTGTATATATATATATATGTTCCCATCCAAATCTACATAGTGCTTTTATGGTCAATTCTGATGGGCCAACTGATGTAAGAACCATAGTCTTTTGACAAAGCTGGAAACTGGAGAGTGAACAGAGTCTCCTAACATACCATACTATATTTGCTATTAACTAGAACCCTCAATGAGTTTGTGTCACTGTTCTCTCTCACTTCATTGGAACCCGTTTGCATGCGCAAACAAGGTCAGCATCCCAAAATCTTAGAATAATAAGACCTTCGAGTTGAAGATCAATCTTTTCTCTGCACAGAATCACTGTCTGTCAGTATTTACAGGCATAACTGGAAGCATGAAAAGATGATAGTCATTAGTCTTCATTTGTCTACAATTTCCTAAAAAGTTTCTTAAGCAGCACTTTTTTTTGTCACTTTATTATATCTTAAATGCGATCTTTTGCTTTTCAATGCTGCAGGTGCATATCTTGCCACAGCAAATGTTTGGGAAATCGACTTTTGGATTATCCATGTGCTTGCTTAAGTGGTTCCCAATACGTTTTGTGGATCAACTTTTAATTCTAATGTCACATCTCATGCTTGGAGACACAGCACAATTTGGCCTTCGTCGTCCCAAACTTGGGCCTCTAGAACTCAAGAATTTGTACGGCAAGACACCTGTTTTGGATGTTGGGACACTAGCTCAGATCAAAAATGGAAAAATTAAGGTAACAACAATATTCTCTCTAACACTACCTCCAATCAAGTCTAAAAGAGTTTTCATCATACGTATCTTGTTTCCTTGTCTTAATCAACAAAATTTGTCTTTTCCTCCAAGGTTTTGTTTAAAAGAAAAATTAGAAAATAAATTATGTTTCATTGTTTCCAACATTAGATCTTGTCCAATTATGTGTACAGGTTTGCCGGGGAATTAAACGAGTAGCACACAATGCCGTGGAGTTTGTTGATGGAAAAGTAGATAACTTTGGTGCCATCATTCTAGCGACTGGTTACAAAAGCAATGTACCCTCTTGGTTAAAGGTACTTTCTTTAATTCTTTGTACTAATTTTGACAGTTTTAATATTTAAGTAATACTTGATCCAATTTTATTTTGAATTAAAAGATCTGGAAATTAGTTTATACCACACAAAAGTTGTTCAAAAGCACTATTTTTTTAAAAAATTATCTTATTTTCATCATTTATAATATTAATGGAATATTTATATATTACTATATTGATTGGGCTTGAAATTTACCATGATCAGGGCACTGACATGTTTAGTGAGAAAGATGGGTTGCCCCGAAAACCATTCCCAAATGGATGGAAGGGTGAAAATGGACTCTATGCCGTGGGTTTCACTAAACGTGGTCTGCTTGGTGCATCAATTGATGCAAAGAGGATTGCTGAAGATATTGAACTTAGCTGGAAAGCTGTTGAGGCCACGCATGTTTTGCAGTTCCCTTGTCCACTTGCGTGATGTGGGAAAAGATGCAAAAAAAAAAAAAAATTAGGATTAGAAAAAGAGGATGGCCTGGCCTCTTGGTGGTGCCTTTAATTTGACACAATGTTGTGTACCAACAATCTCTCTACCATTTGAGTACAGCATCCTCAAAAGGAGAAAAGGAGCTTGAGAAAGAAAAGGGAAAAAACTAAAAAGTGAGCCCCATATATATGTATAGAATGTGTGATTCCCTTAAATCAATTTTCACGAAAACTAGGGATTGGGTTGATGACCGACTTTAAGGATTTGATGTGTATTTTTAGTTTGGTTTGGGTTGAAATTAATTAGTTGATTATTGTCATTTGTATATCCTGTACATTTTCATATCTACCTAGCTAGCTAGTTAATTTTTTTGAGAAAAGGGGACAATATAGTTTCTTAGTGCTTTTTTTTTAAGTACTGCTGATTGATGCTTATAAACTAATTTTATATCATCCGAGACTTCCGTATAGAGATTATGTAATGTATCTATTGATTTGGCATGGCCTTGTTTTCTAATTTAAGAGAGAATTTCATGTTCTCTGATTTGTATTATATATATCTCTAGCAAGTAATTAGGTAGGAGTATGGGACCATAAAAAAATCTTAATCTGATGGAAAACATTGGAAAAGGGCACTCAAAAAAGAGAAAAATCCAATAGCATCAAAAGAAAAGTCCATTAGACTATGGAAAGGTCCCAGTTCCCATGAAGATGAAAGTGGCCCTCTGATTATCTATACAATATGCATGTTACTTTTTTTTTACAATATTTTACATGTAAGATGAATTACTTTAATCGTTATCTTCATTGCCAGGCCTTTTTCCATCGATATCAGGAAAACGGACCACAATTGCTATTCAAAGTCCACAAAATGTCTACCATGGTTTAATTTGATTGATCTCTGCCAATCCCAACACTTGTGCGGGTTGGATAGGATAGATCCATCTATTAATAAATGCATGAAACTAGTTGAAGGTTGAAAGATGAATCCAGAGTCGACTTTTATACTTTGTGCTTAAACTTTGAAGTCAAAGGAAAAGGAAATATAATTCAGAAGGGCAGTTGAAATTACAAGTTTTTCTTATTTTGTTTATTTTTAAAGCATATTTAATGTTAATTTTGATTATATTAATTACTTACTAAATATATAAAATTTTATAAATATAATTATATTGCAAGGATTATTCAGCTCACGTTAGTGTAAATCGAAATATGCATTTGATGTTTATGCTGTAAATCCTTGGCATTCATGAGATTTTTGAATATTTTATGAGCTAGATTATATTTGTTGGGCGTATATGATATAATTAGTAAACTAATTAGTGATTAGGTAAAGTCGATGACTCTAATATTTAAATTTTTCATTGCATGTAAAGTAATTCACTTCCTCTGTAACTAACTAGCTAGTTTTGAGTATTCGTTATTATTCTTAAAAAAAAAAAAATATTAGAAGCATGCTGTGCAAGTCAATAGATGCTAACTATACACAAGTGCGTTTAATTATATCATTGTTTTTCGACAGAAACAAGTGCCTATAAATCATTGTTTTTGGACTACAACATGAGAGCAAGTGCCTACAGCTCGGGCAAAGTATTGCTTAAAAAGAGATAAACCTCAAATGATTTGGATTTTCATCGAAAATGACAAATATAGCTATAAAGGAGATAGTTAGTTGCGGTATTAATATATTCCGACCGAGTAAGAGTTGGTGGGCTTATACAAATGGAATATTGAGCTTTGAATGAAGAAGACGAGTACTCACCACTAAGGTAAGTTCAACCTTGCAACCTTCACTGCATATACACACACAAACATAACATACTATCAGCATCAAGGGTTTCCTTTTCTAGTGGTACAATCCAAGATGGGACCTAAAAGTGTTCCTACTAATTATTGACTGACCCATGAAATTTCTTAGTTTCATCCTTAACAACCCCTTAATTTTTTTCCCATCTTAATCTTCCTTTGCAACCTATCATCCCATATTGTTGATTTCTATATTCATCATAAAAGAATAAATATTATGTTTATATGCTATCAAAGCAAAGAAAAGAGCCAACATATGAGCAATGATTCCTCAAGATAATGCATCCATCTCTTCTCTTTTTGGATTTGAGCGCGTTTCCCCTCCCCCACTAGCGTGTTTCTTTTGGTTTTTATGGATTGACTCCCACTAACATATTTAGTAGGGCTGTCTCTGGGTAGGACTATTGACATTTTTAATTTGAATATTAACACTGTTTAATTTTTCATTATATTTTACAAACAAATTCACATATATATAAGATTTTATTTCAGCCAAAAGTTTAAATTATTTACATTTTCTTCCTTCTTATATCATATGATAAACTACAAAAAATGTAAGGAAAACAATATAAATTATGAAATATTTTATTATTGATATAAAATTAAAAAGTATTTATAAATGTTATAAAAGAATTCAATCGATAAAAATATCATACTTAAATTAATATGTTAAAAAAATTAAAATTGATTTTTTTGGTTTGTAAATATATTGAATGTAAATTTAAAAATAAAATAAATACATAATTATCAAATAAGGAAAAGAGGGCATAATTTATTTCTCCTCGTATACTTAACTTATATATAAAAGGAATCGCTTGTTAATTATAATATCCAATAGTGATGAAAACGTCCTCATAAGAACTTAGAAAATTTGAAAAGCACGAACATTATGGAGAGGATTACAAATTTAAAGATCAAGATCTACTTTTTCTTATAAACCACCTTCTTCTGCAATTCCTAAAAGCTCTATAGAGATAGGAATTACCAAAACTCAAACAAACACGAATCCGTCTTGCTCTTCTATACCATGAAAATCACAAATCCAAATTGAGAACCATCTTATGAAGTCCAATTGAACCACCGTGCTTTAACACCATTAGGCACAACATTTCTGGAACTGTGAAATTACAGCCACCACCACAAATCCCACAGGTTGAGCACCCTCTACTTCGTGCCTCCATTGTTCTTGATCTTAGCATCCTATATTTGTTTAGTGGCTAATTTGATGCCTCTCATCACCATTTCTAGTGGCTTTCGGTCAAAGTTCTTAATGAAGTTGATAACAAAAGCATTGCATTTTAAAAAGAAAAGATTTTTTTATATATATATTTTGAATAGACGGGATACTCAAACTAGAAGGGCTATGGATTATCGATGGTGAAGAGGTGATCAAGGCGAGAGTATAGTCTAGCTATGTAATTGTATTGACAATAAAGCTAAGAAAGATCAAGGAGCATACGAATGAGGAAATAGATTAAGGAGTTGGGGCCCGTTAAGAGTTTATGGCAATTTTGTAAAATGAAGAATGTTTAAGTAACAAATTTATTTATAGCTAAAGTTTAATTTATATTTTTACATAATTTTGGACATTGGGATCGATAGGATAGGTGAAAACGTTCATATAGGTGAACTATAGTTGTAGGGTAGAAGTTCAAAACTTACATGAACATCCCTGTTCTAGGAAAAATTTTAGAAATACCATATTCGCTTTGATATTAAGTTAGGTTAAGATATTTTAAGAATAGATATATTTAATTTTATAACCTATTTGGTGGATACGATAAAATAAAAAATTGACTGTTAAATAAAAAATAAAATATGACAATACTATATAACTTTTTACTTTTTATGCATATTTAAATAATAAACTAGATATATCATTTTATCATGTCTATTTTTAACTTAATTTTTCTCTAAAAGAATTACACAAAGAGAATGATATAATAAGAGTATAGAATATATTTATCATATTTTATTAGTTAAAAATAAAATTATATATATATATATATATATATATATAACATTTAATTTGCATAGCTTGGTAGCATATAGACTTTTAAATTGACAACCAACTTCGATCTAACGCCTTAAACTTTCTTATGATTAAAGAAAGGGATATATGTATATAATATGAAGAAGAAATAGCAAGAGGATATTAAATTTAATTTTATTGTGTCCTATTCTACTTATTCAAAGAAGTATGATTGTGATAATGATAATGCAGTGATTATAATGCAAGTGGGATGGTTAGAGATTGAGACAACCATTACTTGGGTTGATGAGGTGATTATACTATACACTTTTGGGTCAAAAATAATTTTTGGATTGATTTTGAAAATTCATGCTTTTGAAGAAACAAGCATACAAGACACATTGAATGCATTTAGTTATTTTATGTTATATAACCAAGTCAATGATTTAGATTTCAAACTTAAAAGTGTGCTTTGCATCTATGTTCGAATTTTGTTTAAAGCCATGTGAAAGTTAACTTTAATGGATAATTAATGAAATTGATTATATAATGTACATTTTGTCTTAGTTCCAACCATGTCAATAATTCAATCAAAAGATTACATCTTTGTAAATACATATATAATAAGAGACTTTCATGCAGCATATAATTACTACCTTAATACATTTAGACATGGTAATAGTATCAATACTTATTTAACATTTTTTTTTCATTATTTTAAATTATTTAGTATATATATCTATCATTTTTTTTTCTTCTATTCTTTTATCTTTCTAGATACAAAACATCCCTTGCTAGTGAGTATCTACTAACTATTTCTCTATGATTATTAGGACACCGCATATTATAAAAAAATAAATAAAAATCATAGAATATAACAAGACTATAGTGCAACGTGAAATGTAAGTCTTAAACTAAAAGAAAGAATCAATTTATTATAAAAAATGGTACAAGTAATAAAATATTACCATTGATCTTTTATTGATACTATTTGTCTTACATATATATAAGACAAGACAAGTATCCGTACTTGTTGATCGCAACCCACTCTCTCATCAATTTTTAAGGTTTAGGAATTAGTGACTAGTGATCAAGTTTGTGCAGTTATTAGCAGGAACAAGAGCCCAAACCGTCAATTACGACGACCTTAGGGTCGAAAGATTTGTACATGGTCCAAATCGCACGTGACACCATAGAAAATTAACCCCAGCTCATCTTTCATACTGTGCAATGCAGGTTTACGCATGGTGTTGGTGCACATGCTCATCAATCTAGACCATACATTTTATATATGTTTATTTAGTCTCTTTAATGTACGTGGTCCAAAAGAAATTTATTGTAATAACC